GTTGCAGACGCATCTCTGTGTTCCTCCCTCCTTGCTCCTCCTCTCATCATCTCCTTTTCCACCACTGGGCTCTGAAATGGAAAGGGTGCACCTATTTCCTGTGCCTCTGAGTCTTCAGTGTCTAATACATTGGTGTTTTTGGCACAGACCAGCAGATATTGAATCAATGACTAAAAAGAGTAATACTTATGCTTAATTGGCAACATTCTATCCATTTACTTAGGGTTCAACCATTCACATGGGCTAGATATAATGATGCAAAAGTGTTGCGCAGGAAATGTAAAATTATTTTACATGAAAACTTCAAAATCAGGAAAGATTGAGTTAGACACATAATTAATTCTAGCTCTCAATAATTTCCATTCTAGGATATTCTCTCTCCTATTTTCACTTATTGGAAGTATTAGACTTTACAACTGATTTTAAAATCAACTTTGGAGCAGTGCAATTTGTAGCAAGTAAAATGCAGTCCTTATAAGTGTGCAGTTCCATGAATTTCGACTTATGTATGTACCCAAGTAATCACCGCCACACCTAGGATAGAAAGCCTTTCCTTATTCTGAACACTCGCTCCATCCTCCTTTCCAATTGATCCCAATCCACTTCCTCCAAACTCCAAAACTCAGGCAGTCGCCGAGCTGCTCTCTGTGGATTCCTGGTTAGTTTGTTCTCTTCTAGAATTTCATATAAATTGAGTCATATGGTGTACTCTGTGCTCTGTCTTCCTCTTCCCTAGTGTGCTTTTGCAAAGTTTGTGCTGCAGTCTGCAGTCTGCGTCGCTATACACAAGTTGATAGGCCAGTGGGTTGTTTTCACTCTTTGATGAATGAAGCTACAGCCGCCGTTCCTGGGTATTTGGTGGGCATAGTTTCATTCCTCTCGAGGAACTGCCTGGGACTGGAATCTCTGTGTCTTGTGATGAGTGTATGTTTAATGGTACAAGAAATTCCCAGAGTGGTTCTAACATTGTACCTTCTCCCAGGATATGTGAAAGTTCTAGTTGCTCTACTGCTCAGTAGCTGGCCTTGTCAGTCTTTTAATTTTTGCTAATTTGCTATGACATGTACTAACTGTATGTTTTTGTTTTGTTTTGTTTTTTGGGTACCAGGAATCGAACTCAAGACCTTGCACTTGCAAGGTGGGCAGCGGCACTACCGAGCTAAATCCCCAGCTCCTACTCTTTAAAAATCTTAAGACAGACTCTCATTACCCAGGCTGGCCTTGAACTTGTGATCTTCCTGCCTCAGCCTCCTAAGTAACAAGGATTACAGGTATGTGCCACTGTGCCTGACTATTCCTTTTGTACTTAATTTTTTCCAAGTATTCAGTACTCCCCTTTTTTCATCTTTGTGTCTCTCTCCTTATGTGCTTTTTCCTCTATTTCTGGCTTCCTTTTCCTTATTCTTTTTTCATCTCTTTTTACCTCTCCTCTTTTCATTTTTCCCCCTTGAATTATTTCCCAATTATTCTCTTCTGAAATTGACTTAGTGTGGAACCTGTAAACAACAGATCAACACCCTGGGATGCTTTGAGTAAGTATTAAAATGTCTCGCCCCAGCTCTGGAGATGAGTTGAGTACTGCGTGAGTGGAATGTTTCATGTTGCTCCTTAAAAATGAACCAAGTTGGTTTTAATTTGAATATTCTCCTCTGCTATTTCCCTCTTCTGTAATCAGTAGTCGTACTTGACAGTCCAAGAAAGCTGTTTCCAGAAACATGAATGTGGACATCTACCTCTTTGATAGGGGGAAAAAAAGGCCTTCAAACAAAGCTGACCTTTTTCAGGAAAGTACTCATTTTCTATAAGCAATATAAAGTTTAAGCTTTTCTAAAGAGCTTTTCTTCTGACAGAAAATTCCGCCAATGTTTTTCTTCCAGAAAACGTAGCTTTTCATCTTCCTTTTAAAGAACCCGCAGGACCCATGAACTGCTGCATAAATGCGAGCCTACAGACACATCTCCCTGGACTCTTCAAGCCCACACGTTTTAAGGCGTCCTCCACTGCACTGTTTCTGATAGGACAATCATCTCGGCCATTCCTCCTTTTCCTCTATTTGACCTGTCTTCTCCTTACTCTTCACTGAGATCGTTTCTTTGTGTGCATACTCTTTTCTCACTCCCTTTGCAGGCCCACAGATCTCATAGCGCAAGCATTAATGCCGTGCCTTCTTCCTCCCGCAGTTTTCCTGCGCCTGTGCCTCTCTCTACCACACTGTCTTGCTCCTTTTCGTAGTTCTGCCTCCCTTTGCCTCTGTGTCCTTCAGCAGCTTTTAGAAGAGGAAGAATTCTTTTCCAATATCTTATTTCTGCAATCATGCAAAACCTGCAAGCCAAGACATTTTGGAAAGAGCTAGGTGTAAACAACAACGACACGAACTACGGTGTAATTCTTGAGAATAAAAACGCTCCATTTCAGTCTGGTTCAACTGCCCCACAGAGGCTCACATCATCTTAAAACGTACTTGATCAAATAACGTATCCAGAATGAGTATGGAGCAGGGAGAATCACTGTGCGCGCGGAGCCAAGGAATCCTGCAAACACCCGGGCAGCGGGGACATTTCGAAATGGGCTTTCAGGGTTTTCTGGTTGCTAAAGCTGTAAAGACAGAGCCGTGTAAGTGGCCGTGAGAGTGAGGGCTGAGGAGGCAGGAGGCTGGCAAGTTATAGCATAAGGCTTCTGTCATCCATGGATGCTTCTTCGGCCTCGCTAACTCAGAGTGTACATGTTACGTGGGTTTGCATTCTGCCTCATAAGGTACCCCACACGCGTTTCTGTATAGAAAATGCTTCCAGATCTCCAGACGGTTCAGTTAGGGGACAGCGCCTCGGTCTCCCTCTTACTCAGCACTGTGGAGAGTAGAGAACCCCCCCGAAGTGGCAGCTCAGCGCCAGAGACTCAAAGTGGGTGTCTCTCCGGCTCGTGAATCCTCTTGCATCTGCGCACCAAGCCCACTGGTGGGCGGCGAGGCCAGGCTGAGAGGCGGAGCGGGCCGGTGGCGGTGGTGGCTCCGCCTCAGTGGGGCTATGCTCAGACACAGTGGACTCTGTGGGTAGAGTGAGTTGCCCCAAGAGGAGGGGAGGGACTTAAACAGAGTCAGGGAAACTGCACTGAGAAGGCGATACTCACGTGGGGTGAGTCCACCGAAGATCTGGCTCGTGTCGCGGAAGAATAGAGTGGGACTTCACTTTCCTATTAGGCATTCTGTGATGAGCTTGGCCATTTCTATTCAGACATAAAGATATTGTAGTTTAATAGTATTATAAGGATATATAAATAAAATTAACAGAGTAACCTTAGTAGTAGTAAATATTGGAGGCATTATTATTGAATGTAAACTTTACTGGTGAAATACAAAAGTAAGCTGCAAAATATATCATTAAAGTGACTTGGTTTTACTGGGAATAAAATTAATTGCTTAGACTAAAATGTGTACAAGGTCTGAGGGTCTATCTCATGCTTGCCTATTGTGTGAGGCCCTGGGTTCATTCCTGAGCAGCCATCCCACAAATATAGATATGTTTATAATACAAAATATGAAAACATAATTTAATGGTTTAATTGGTATATGGGATAGTTATATGATATACATTACATTATACACAATAAGCATATTACATATGATATATAATAATATATCATGTGCATTGTGTATAGTATATGTGCATTATGCATAATACATTATATATCTATTATATATAATATTATATATACCACTATATAATAGCAACAAAATATATCATGTAATAATATATCATGTGCAGTATAATATGCGATATATAGTATGTTTTGCATAATATCCACATTATACTTAATGCATTAACTATACATGATATATAACATCTCAGTATACCATGTGCTGCATATGCTCACGGAGTACCCTATGCATAGTTCACGTCAGTCACCATACATTTGCATATCACAAATTATCACTTATGTGATGGTTGCACCGGATATTACAAGGAGCCATAGATGTGCAGAGACTGGCCTTGGAGTGCGCTGCCTGCCGGCGAGGCGCCAGTGCTACTGGGTAGAGCAAGTGAGGTGGTGGAGGATGAGGGCCGAGAAGAGCTGCGGGTGGGTCTGAGGGTTTTGCCTTTGTCCTTGACCTGTGCCTCTGGCTTCTCTGATCACATTGCTGTCACGACAGATCGGTGAACTACATGAGGAGCTCTGGGGCCGTTTTCAAGCCTGCTCTGCCTCTCCTGCCATCCTGCCACTCTTCGCTCGGCATCCTGTGAGGACCACTCAGGTTCCTTCTTTGTTCAACACCTAACAAGAAAAGCTGCGAGGCGGGAACGTATGTGCACTTTCTTTTTGAGATGTGGATACACCCGTCACCTCGCTGTTCCAGGGCCAGCACAGGCCCAACGCCCCCCGCGTGGGAGCTGGTCATAAACGGAGATCCTGAGCAGCTACTTTACTTGGCTGAAGCACGACGTGTATTCCGCCTTTCCGCAGGGCATCGCCTATTCCCAGGTGGCAGAGGCTTCCTGGAATGAGTTTGAGTTTGTGCTGCTCCTTCATTAATCCATCAGTTCACTAACCCACATCAAAGCTAATTCTCATAGCAAACCTTCAAAATATCCCAGTCTTTTTTTTTTTTTATTGGTACCGGGGATCGAACTCAGTACTTTGTGCTTGCGAGCCAGGCGGCGGCGCCACCGAGCTACATTCCAGCCCCCCAGTCTTTATATAGCAGATGAGAGTTGCGGGTTAAACTACTCATCTGAGGCCACACAGGTGGGAGATGTGAAGATGTGGCCCCCGCGTCTGGGTCTTTTTAACCCCCAAGTTCTTCTTCTGTTTCTGTACGATATTAACTTTATCATGAACTTCCCTGTGGGTAGTCGTTTCTGCAGTAGGAAAAGAAACCCATTTAAAAATGAAGGTTGCATGCAGGTCTGGGGATTTAGCTCAGTGGTTCTGCTGTCTACCTTGCAAGCACAAGGGCCCAAGTTCGATTCTCAGTACAAAAGGGGAGAGAGAGAGAGAGAGAGAGAGAGAGAGAGAGAGAGGTTGCAAAAGAGAGCCCTGTTAAATGTGTTCAAAGAAGGAGACCCTTCCAGGAGTTTTCCATGGTGCTCACACTGTCCATGTGATAAGCAAAGACAGCATCCTTGGTGTCTGGCTTTGGGAACTTGAGCGCGAGAGGACACCGTCCCCGCCTGCGTGCTTCGCCCTGCCGCCAGCCCACTGGCATCTCGCTGCGGCTGAGGCAGACCCGCGCCAGGTGCTGAACGTTGTGTGTGTTTCACCGAGCTGTCCAGATTCCTCCCGGCCAACTGCGGTTCCAGAGCTGTAGAACTATTTGCACATTCAATCCATCAGATGGCTTTGAGTCAAGCCAGTGCCTACAAGGCTTTATTTTTGCCAAAAGGAGGTAAAACTTGCGGCCTCTGATCCAATTGTTCAGAAATACTGCATTTTCAGAATAGCTGTATTTTCCAGGGAGAAGTAGCTGCGAGCGAAGAAATCCCATAAACACCAGCCATGACCCCGATCGCCTTTGTTCTTGGAAAGCCTCGATCAGCTG